TTTGCAATCTGACAGTCTTACTGCTTGCATCGTGGACAGCAAGCTTGCTGGTTTTATCTTGCACTTTATCTTTTTTTCCAATCAATAAAGCTATATAACTAGTGTTTGAGGTACTACAGTAGATACTGAGGCCAGCAGACGGTATATGCTAATCAACTTTTAATTATAGCTTTAATTTTATATGATGCCATTTAACTTTATTAGATGTATTAAAGTGAAGCTGTCAGATCATGGGATCTACTGCTCGGGCCAGGGTGAGAATGTCCCAGGGGTCGCGTGCAGGTGTATGACATTATTAAGAAGGTCATAAGTCAGCGTTACGATGTGCATAATGTGCACATAAATGTCACATGTCACCTGAGTGATGGGAAGGGTCTCCTCACAGGCAACGTGTGACTGAGCAGAGCTTCTGTGCTCAGCGCAGCTCAAAGACTGGGTGGGACCTGAACTGCAGGCTGAGAGAGCCAGTGTTGCCACCAACTTGCCTCGTGGCCTTAGTGAAGTATGTTATTTTAGTTTTTCTACATCAGTAAAATAAGGATAATGTCAGCTTATGCTTCTTAGGGAAAAACAAGAAGCAATGCAAACTGAGCTAGGATTGTTGCCATTAACCATCCTGCCCCCCAGATTGGAAGGAGGGACAGAGGAAAGAAGTGGGGGGAGGGAGTGAAGAGGGAGAATGAAGGACATGAGGGGACAGTGTGGGTGCCCTACCTGCATCTCCGTCTTCCCCCCACCCCCCGTTTCCATTTGGTTTAGTTTCCAACAGTCTGAGCACTGCCTTCGGGTTAGGGCCACGTTACCTTCAGGAGCAGAGACTGTGTTGTATTTACGCCACACCCGCAAATTCCCAGATGGGAGTTCTGTTCCAGAGCCCTCCTCAGGATCAGGCGGAAGCTGTGGCTTCTGAAACGCCATCCTTGCTGGGCTTCGTCCCCTTTGGGTTCTGCCTCCCATACTGTTTGTGGAGCTCTCCAGAGTATGCTTTCTTAGTAGAGTCCTTGCATAAAAATCCTTTCTTCAGTAAATGAGGAAAAATAGACCTAAGACAGGGAAAAAGAGCTGGAAAGACAGATCAGGTCACAGGCCAAGAGAAATCTTTATTCAAGATTTGAAGGGAAGAGATACTTTTCACCAAGATTTCTGCATCAATTGTCATATGTGTGTGTGCAGAATGTTACAGCCCGTTCTCTCATTGTAGCAGGCTTTAAAGCTCCTGAAGAAAGAACCAAGTGGGATGGAACGGCATGGAGATAACACCCAGTTGTCTAACAGAAGCAGCATTGTCAGAGGGAATCTGGATTCCTATGCAAGAGCTACCTGCCTGGATTTCCAGAACTGGCCACAAATGCCACATGTAGCCAACCATTAATCAAATAGAAAGGGTTTGCCTGCATAGAAAATAGAATGCGGAGCTTCCTCAAGTGACACATAATCAATTAATCAGAGCAATGTAATAACCAGTGGCATAAAATCGCACTGAATGTGTTTCCAAATAGCAGAGAAATGCGTGAAGTTGCTGTCTTAATTTCTACCATGTTTCCTTTCCATGAGGCAGAAGGAACACACTCTTTAGACTCGTGGGATTTGGAAAGACTTTCAAGAGATTTTTGACAGTCATCTTTGGGCAGACTTAAGGCTACTTGAGAGACATCAGTCCAGGAGGTTTGTTCTGCTGCCTTCTCTGCCAATTTCCTTTGACCCAGCCTACGCGCCGCCTTGCCCAGGGAACCCCTGTTCTCCTGGATAGAACGAACGACGCCCCTGCTAAGCCCCTCCCAATTTTATTTGCGCTTTTCCTGTGGCAGTCATGTCTTCGCACTGGCTGGCTGGGCACACATGAGTCTCTCAGATGAAACTCTTCTCAATCTTGCATTCATTCTGTCCGTCACTATTAAGCATACTGAACGGTTGATGTGCAGACCATTCATCTAAGCACGCCACTCGGTCTACTTTGTGTCCACGCTCTTCCAAGCACAAGGTGATTGCAGGCGAACAAGGCACCGAGGTTCCTGCA